AAGCCTCCAATGTATATCAACAAGCCTTGGCATATAAAATTGCAATAAGATTATGCACAATTTCTGCTATTGAGGTTACACAAGGCAGTATAATTATGAGAAAGGACTTCAACAGCAGACAAAAAGACAGAGATTGCCTTGGTCTTGCTGTTAGGTGTCCCCCATAAAGATCAAGTAGAACAACTGTTACATATACGCAGAGAGCCCATATCTGTTTCATGCATGCTCTCTTGTTGGCAGTTAGTTCATTACTGTGAGATTGTATCAGGAGCCTTTCTGTGGGGCCATCCTCAGCAGGGAAAGGAGAGTTGGAGGGTCTTTGCATATAGGTTGCTCCACAGAGGAGATGAGGGAACTATGTAGGAAGGGAGTGAGTGAGGTACAGTAGTCAGGGGAATCTCACTGCCAACTTCTAAAATTCAGGAATTTCTGTAGCTCTAACTTACTATCAACAAGGCACTTTATTTATACAAGTTTCACAGTACAAACACAGACTAATGATTACAAAGTGGTACAGAGTGGGTGTTTAATTTTTTTCATCACATACCCAGGGTTACAAAATCAGTTACACTTAAAAATACAAACAGAACAGTTTTAATTATTATTATTAGCCCTATAACTCTAATTTAAGGAATCAAAGAATGTCTCCTTCAAGAAAACTCATTTAATATATGAAAGCCTGCTTTTAGGCTGGCAGTCTTTTCAGTATGACCACAGTCCATATAAACAGATAATACCTGAACTGGTCTTTTTAGGAATAGCAAATACTAATAAATAACTCCCTTTATTATATGTATCATCATCTATGCTATGAAGTAGGAAAATTTTATAGCCAATCTATCATATTAACTGAATTTTATTCCATAAGGACTGTACTCTCTATGGCCTCTTATCTTTAAACTACATTTTCAGGGAGCTCTAAGCCTATAATAAAATAATGTCTTAAATCTATAATCGAATATCCTGGCCTGCCGAGGTTTGCATATTGTCTCTTTTTACCCTGAAATATACTGTTTACAGGCAGATACCCCAAGAAAATTCCTGAAATATTGGCCTCATCTTTCTATCTGCTCATCTGTGCTTAATGATCTCCATGGCGTAAAGGTTTCCAAACTGTAGAAAGGTATAGTTAAGTATAGGATATTCATATAAAGACTAAAACATAACTTTTCTGTAGAAAAAAAAAACAGAAAATGAATCAGTGCAGAAAGTCCCCAGTAATGCAACATACAGAAAAAAGAGGTAAAAGAACAGTGATTGTAATATTCTGCTCAGCTTTGCTGGAATTTCATCAAGCAGCTGAGGTGGCTTCATCAGCCTCACCATTCCAGTGAATATGGCTCTGAATTTCCCCTTATCTGATTTAATTATTAACATGTATAAACCTATTGTGTGACATGTAGGGCATTTTTTATTCTTCAAAAGATGACTAGAACAACAAGAATGAAAATTAGAACAATTCCCAAGATTAATCTGAAATTAATAATGAAAGACAAAGAGTCCTATCCTGAGTCAAAGGATGTCAAAGACTACAGATATTTATGTGCAATTTCACAACAGAGATAAGTACTGGTTGATCTGAGCCTATATCTGCAATTTGCTGATGCAACTGTTGTGTATTTACTACCAAATCAAAATAGTTCCATAGGCAATGGAGGTGGAATCTAATTCATTCCATGGTCCCTGAGAAAAATTATATAAAAATGTGGTAACAAATATCCACTGAAACTGTGAGCAATAAGAAAACTGAGAAGAACACATGACGGTGGAAACAAGGAAGCATATTTTTGTTCAACATACAATGTATATATAACTAGGAGCTCAATGTATTAAAAAAACATTTGAAGGATTACTTGACAGTTTTATTTCATCTGAATATGAGTAATATAGATTTCACTGCCCTAGAGAAACAGTGATAAATTATTGAGCAAGAAGCTTATTAAGTAAACAAGATAAACAAGAGAAATGGAAATTATAAAGAGTTCATGATTTTGGCAATCTCAGGAAGCAGAATATGCCAGGCTACACACATCATTGAAGGGCATTCTCATGAATTAAATGTGCAATGTGTAAAGCTGAACATGTATAAGCTGTATATGTATAAACTGTATACATATATAAGCTGTATAAGCTGTATACATGTATAAGCTGAAATGTTGATTCATTTCCTCCACACAGATCAGCAGGAGTGCATCCCCTGCCTAAGTCAAGAGTACCCAAACCCTGAGAGAAACCAGTGCCTGCCCAAGACAGTGACCTTCCTATCCATTGAAGATCCTCTGGGCATGGCTCTGGCCTGCACAGCTCTTTCCTTCTCTGTCAGCACAATTGCAGTTCTGGGAATCTTTCTCAAACACCAAGAATCAGCCATTGTTAAGGCCAATAACCGGACTCTCAGCTACATCCTGCTCATCTCCATCCTCCTCTGCTTCCTCTGCTCCTTTCTTTTCATTGGCCGTCCAAACACAACCTCCTGCATACTGCAACAAATAACATTTGCACTTGTGTTCACCTTGGCTATTTCCACCATTTTGGCAAAAACTATAACTGTAATTCTGGCCTTTAAGGTCATGAAACCAGGAAAAACAATGAGAAGATTGTTTGTCGCAGGTGTCTATAATGCTGTCATTCCCATCTGTGTCCTGATCCAACTAATTCTCTCTGGAGTCTGGCTGGGAACCTCCCCTCCCTATATTGACATAGATGAACACTCTGAACATGCTTATATCATCATTTTATGCAGCAAGGGCTCAGTTACTGCTTTCTACAGTGTGCTGGCATACTTAGGGTCCTTGGCCCTAGGGAGCTTCACTGTGGCTTTCCTGGTGAGGAACTTGCCTGACACATTCAATGAGGCCAAGTTCCTGACATTCAGCATGCTGGTGTTCTGCAGTGTCTGGGTCACCTTCATCCCTGTCTACCAGAGCACCAAGGGCAAAGCTATGGTGGCTGTGGAGGTGTACTCCATCTTGGTCTCCAGTGCAGGGCTGCTGGGATGCATCTTTTTCCCTAAGTGCTACATTATTCTCTTAAGACCTGATAAGAACTCTTTGAGATGTATTAAAAACAAAAAAAGCTAATAAAAATTGATCCTTTTGATGTATTAGTTTTCTAATAAAACCCATTAGTATACTAAAATTAAACTATTTACATACTTTTAAGTAACCTTTTTTTTCTGAAATGTATATTTA